TGGTTCCTTCAGTACTTTCAAAGTAAACATGATCAAAATAGCATTATCTTCTGCAATTAAATAGCCATACTTTGTGGAACAGGATTAAACTTGTCAGTAAATATGTTTTCGATTGAGATCATGAATCGATCAATGTTAGACTACCGCCGAAAACCTGGAAGCACTGGACGGCCGTTTCGTCCTAACATGGGCCTCCTCAGTAGTGCGCATCCACGATCCCACACGAGAAACTCGAACCCAGGACCTTCGGCCTTGCACGTAAACGCTTAACCCATACAGATAATTATCATGTGCTCACAAAAGACTAGCTTCGTTAGGTAATTCTCGGAGTCCTAGTGAGAAGCCGTGATCAGTGGAACTAATCCTCGTCAGGTAGAGACAGGTGTCTACCTCAGACAATAAAAGATGGTCGCGCAATTTCGTGGATAGGTTGAAAATAGACATTAACACCGTTAGATTCCAGCTCAGTGGTCTGAAGCTTAAGTGTCTGTGCGCGAGGTCGAAGCTCCTAGGTTCGAATCCCTCGTGCGCACTACTGACGTCCGTCCAGTGCTTCCAGGTTCTCAATGGTGGCCTAACATTGATCGATTCATGATCTCAATCAAAATCTTAACAATCTCAACGATCCCACACTGATAAATGTCTTCTTTGTTAACAGTGTTTATTACAGTAATATATCACACGTAGTACAACCGAAACATCTAAAAATATATATCTTTATTATGAACTTATGAGCAACTTGTTTGATTACAGTTTAAGTGATCTCTCAACAAATGACTATCCAGTATTCGTTGATTTACATTAATCCTGAATCTAATTATTTAAAGATTACTGTTAAGCATGACGATAAAGTACTCAGATATAAAAACGATTTTAGCAGAATAATGTGCATTTATTTTATTGCGTTGGATTTTTGTCAGCCGCTTACAACCTGAAATATCCAAAATAATTACAAAATGCGTCGAGTTTAATTTAATTCGTGATGGTTTACATTATCATATTGTTAATATTTTTGTCAGTTTTAGTTGGCATATGCGAATCCTGTAAAGATTGCCTCGATATAGCTAATATATCATAAGTTTAGGTAGAATATAGCTAATAGTGAATCAAAATACAGTTCAAGTACCAACAACTAGATAATCCGAACTATTACAAAAATTAGGTTACATTTTATACCCGTTGCACAAATGAGCGGTTATCTGAAATCTTTAGCTAAGTGGATAACACGTTGGTGTTCGAATTCCATAGTGAACATCAACTTTGGAATCCCGACACATTCTATCTATTCTATGTAGTAGTTTAGTTGGAAGTTATCTTGAAGATACATCAGTATAGTGAGGATGCAAATAAACTTAATGGACTAAATAAAATATTGTAAATATATATCTTATGTAAAAACAGTGCTTTTCAATTTTCTTTTATAGGTGATATACATTTACAATATTTTAGTCTATTAAATTTATTTACATCCTTGCTATACTATAGTAATGTGTCTTCAACATGAAAGCAATTCAGACAGATTTTGTAATTATAATAGAATCTGACGAGAACCAAACGAAATAAAATGAATTCATGTTATTCAGTTTAAGAATTTTTTCTTGCTTTCTTCAAAATGATAAAGAGAACTAAGTGTATGAAACAAGATGTACGTATAAAAGTCATGCTATATCATTTAGAGCTTACCCGTTCGCACATACAAGTCGTCATCACTTATAATTTTATTTGGTAAAACTTAAAGTGCAAATGTTTTGCACACGTTGAGAAGCTTTAAGGTCCTGGCCTTGATCCTAGATGAAGTATTGGTTATGTTCATTGTCAAGGGTCTCCTGAAGATACTAGGATAAACAAACTACAATTTTCTTTGGTTCTCCAGATCATACCATGTCATGGTAACAAGTAGAACATAACCTGAACAACTTACGGAAAATAATCCATTCCTATGAAAAAAATTTAATAATCTTCTCTAAGTTCCAACTAACGTCAAAAAGTAACCATTACGTTTAAAAGTACTTCGTCTTATTTCACAAACGATACCATACTAATTTGAAAAATCACTCTTTTCATTACTTACTTAAGCTTGTTACCCTTCTTTGGAAATAGGCCGCCGACCAAGAGATTCATTTCGTAGTGGTATTATGATAGACCACTAATCTAATTTTCAAAAAGTAACAACCGATGGTGACATACGGTGGTTAGCAGTGAAGTCCAGGATGGGATGTTAGTTTTGTTTGAAACTACTCAGCTGAATGTACGTACACCCAGTGCTGACGTTCATGTCTAGTTACTTTTCGCTCCCAAGTCTAATACGCTGTCCCTTGAGCCACTGAGTTCAAATAGCCGCCAATTTGTGCAACGGCGATAGGCCTTAATATTTATCATAATTCAGTACATAACAAATGATTAATAAAATCAGCTAATCACGTACAAAATTACCGATAACCTTTTGTTAATCAATGAGTTAATATTTAGTTCCAACTCGAACAAGGTTCAGGTTAACATCAAACAGATATAAAGTGATGACTAATTTCATGTAAAATTCTTTATCATTTTTGATATAGAATTCCATCAATTAATTTTCAAACATATTCATTAGACTAAAGTATTCAACATTGTGGTGTACTTTTTGATGTTAGATGGTCGGATTAAATCGAAACAAAGAGTTTAGACATAGGTTTCATACTACTCATGGACAGAACGTACTAAGGTACTGAAATAATTATCATTATTTCCAGAAATTCTATTCCATATCACAACGCTGAATTAGATGTTACTACTGAGTTATCCAAGTAACAACTAAACTTGTGTAGCATAGAAGTGTTTAAATTCAGGAGTAACCAGTGTCATCAGTGATTAAAGCATTTGGCTGACAAGCATTAGACCACAAGTTTGAACACTGTTCTACCTACTTTGGGTTACGGCAGACTAGTAGGATTAATAACTACTGAATAAGTGTGGCTTAAAATAGAGCACGTAAACCTTCACTTGGAAAGTGAGTTACATTAGTTCATAACATGGACGATCAAGGCTTCCTGCTGATTACATCCAATCATTTAATACCAGAAGCCCAAGTACGTTTGGATCCGATAAGGATAATATGACAGTTATATGGCATAATAGCCATATGGTATTTTTTCCTTTTCAAGTATACACATATCTAAGCTGATTTAATGAAGGTAATCTTAACATCTAACGAACTTTCTAGCTTATCAAAAGCTGTTGACCATCACCTTGTCGTAATCCAACATCAGATTTATAAGATACACCTTCATATTTCTTCTCATCAGTAAAATAATAAACACTTCATTGCTCTTTTTGATGACATGAAAAGCTTATTGTTTATTTGTATTATTCTTCAAATACATTTTTATTGATCTAGTTTTCATAGGCTTGATATTTCACAAATAATTAATTCGATAAACCAATCTACACATTTTTACTCAATACAAAAATTAGGTAATAAAGTATAATTTCATGTATTCAGCCTTGATTCGGAATGTTTATCTGAAGGCTATTGATACTACTGGTATCCGGCTACCTGGACAGGAATAAACAAAGATCTAGGTTCGAACATGCGAGCTACCGATTGAAAGTAAAACTACAATAAAGCTAACGCTTCACTAGAATCCCTTGATGATACTTAGAGCATTTAGTCGTTATACTGATGTAATAATACAAAAAATGTCAAAATTTTTGTGGTTGATTTGAATTTGGTTAAATAGATGCAGGTGGTACATCCTGTACTGAAAAGTGAAATGTATATGACGAGTTTTGAACTAGTGGTACTACTCGTTTTTTGGGAGTCTGATACGTTACTGAAGTGTAAAATGACGCGTTTCATGAAAACCATGGGACTCCATTACATGACAAGCAGTAATTTGGAATTTTCAGGGCGAAAGGAAAAGAGATAGACCAAAAAGCATATTCCGCAGGGAATTGGAAGTAGACATGAAAAGAATGAATAGCACTTGTGAACAAATGGAATGGAGGGCCCAGAACAGGGTTGATTTGAAATCCTGGTTGGTGGCCTATCCCCCATGAGGAGTAACCAGAGTAACTGAAAACAAACAGTTTATTACTTGTTGGACTTAAACTTTATGCTTATTCGAGATCATTAATTTGTAGTCTGATTTGTTACCCAAAATAATAACAGTAAATAATCTTAAAAGTAAAACCAGTGACTCAGTGGTTATCTTTTAATTATGATTCCATAAGCTTTTATTTATATTTACCTACATATCCAGTACTTACCAGCCATCTTGATATTGAACTAATTATAGTAAAGTATAAATTTGTTAACTAAAGTACTTGCCAATTTTATTTTCAGACATCAAACTATTCCTAATAAACGTACAAAGACCCCAATCACTTCCAGAACAGAAGTTAGAGAGCCTTTGCACCAGCTAGAGACTCTAAAGAACGAAAATGCCAGATATATTTGGTTAACAAAACAAACACAACGAAGTACACCTGTTTTGAACCAGGAGCGACAATATGGTCGGATCAACTTAATTTCCACACACCGAGGAGAATCTCCATCCAGAAGTGGGAAAAGTGAAACGTCTAGTGCAAGAGCGGAACACAGAGGAGGATTATTTAATGTACATATGAACAGTGGAATTAAAGCCCCGTATTACATAATACATCCGGAATGGTTAAGTGAGACTATGACAATACGACAACTTGGGTTATCACCTAGACCAACTCCACTGCCAATAACTAACTGTCTAAACGATAACCAACTGAATAAACGCAGTCACACAACAAATTCTATTTGTTCAGGATCTTCAAGGAGAAATATGTGTACAGATTCATTGAGCTTAGGACAATCATCTTTTAACCGCTGTAGAAGTTTACCACCGAAGTCAATAAATCCCATAACATGGGACAGTTACGGAAATAATCCTTGAAAAACTGACAGTGAAACAATTCGTAAATGATTATATTAAAGAAATAAGGGTTACAAAAAAAGAAATTTAATTCATTAAGAAAATAGAATTTTTTCACTTCAAAGGTTGTTGAATAATACGTTTAGTATTATCGTTGTGGGGTTTAGTAACTGTTGGCATTGGCTTATCATGATAAGCTTTGATACACTTGTCGTGACATTCAATTTCCTCCTAGAAAAAAAAGAATAAATATAGATAATAGCGGTTCCGATAACGTAAATTAAAATACATAAACAAACAATATTAATTTCGGTTAGATCTTCCCTCGAGGTTTTACTTTAATATACAGTGATATTTATGTGATATGAAAATTTCAAACCAATCAAACCAGCTTATAAATCGATGATAAAACGAAACAGATAACATAAATAAAAAGTAAAAACGTACGAATCAATAGTAATGTACTAGTTATGCTAAGAAATGAAAACCCTCACTGTAGCATTATATATTCATAAAGATAGAATCGACTGGGTTATGAAGAATGAGTTAAGTCTAAAGCTCAACACTTACTAAGTTATATTCATAACCATTCAAATTCCATTTTACCCGTATTTAACGAGTTAACTGAGTACACAATAAAAATGTAGAAATATTGAACCTATGCCCATAAGGTTTCAGATCAACTTGTCAAGCTCTACATGAATACGAATATCAACAACAAAAGAATATTAAAGCCTTCATTGGTAAAGAGTGGAAAGCATTCGTTGAGCAAACAAAACTATGTCCAAGATTTGAGGGAAGATAAAAAGTATACATATTTGACCTTAATGTCTACCGGGGGTGAGTTTAAGGATAAACTCTTCCCCAGCTTGCTAAAATTTACAACCCCAGATTGCAAAGTGCATCGGATACTTACAGAAGAATCGTCAGTCTCAAAAGGAGGTAGTGACATAAAGTGATTTGTCAAAGAAATAGATCCTAGTGTGAAAAACGAAATTTCAGATGGCAGTCAAACGTTTTTAAATTTTGTGAATTATTTTCTTGATGCAAAAGAGTAGGAGAATGTTACATAAACCTTCGACATTAATGCTTTACACACATTTATTCTAACACTACGTGAATCAAACCAGGGTAGAACTAGTAAAAGAGAATTAAGACAATTTTAGAAGTTTATTAATGCTCTGTCGATCATAAAGAGGCAATCCCAGTGCTTATAAGTGGGATATCTCGTGTAGCCACAAGCAACTTTACTCGCCATTTTCATGGCATTCGGAAAAATCACATTAACAATCATCATCAATTAGTTTCCGTAGATATGGCGTGTATTTTGCTCCTTCGAAGTGCAAAGTACTTTACAAGACTGGCAGAACCCTGAACGTGCACTCATCCTCGGTAGTGAGCAGATAAAAGTAGCCGAGAAGTTCGTGTATCTGGGTAGGTGCGTAAGTGTTGGTGATGGCTTGAGTGATGAATTCAATTCAGGTATAGTGAAAGTCTGAGTGGCTTATGCCAATCTGGGATGTCTTTGGCCCCTTCACGGTGTTAGTCTGACTGTAAAAGGTCGAATCTACGACGTCGGTGCAGCAGTTAGTTCTGTTCTACTTTGCGACTGCGAAACGTGGCCATCAAGGGTATAAGATACTCGTAGGCTACCAGTATTTGATCACAGATATCTTAGAAATATAGCTCGCACCTACTGGGATTACTGGGTGGGTAAGTAATAGTGAGATTGGACGCAGGTTATTAGGAAACGATGGTAAATCAGTTGGTGAGGTTATAAATCTTCGTCGATTAAGATGGCTGGACCACGTGTTATGTATGCCTGAACACCGTTTCCCACGGTGCGCAATGCTGATTAGTATCGGAGACGGTTAGAAGAAAGTTAGGAGCGGCCAAACCAAAAAATGACATCAGTCACTGAAGTCAATAACTTTTAGTCTGAACCATGTTTGTAGATGCAGACTACTTGGTTGGGGCCAGCGCGACTATCGTAACCAAGGGTTGGAGACTGGGTGAAGTGGCTCATAATCGATTACAATGGCGTAGGTATATACACTCTTTGTCTTCTCCTAAACCGTAAGATAAAAATCACGGCAAGATTATAATTTATGGACAAACCAACCAGATTGGGGATAACAGGTCTTGGATTTGGGCACCCCGTCAGTCCATACAAATCCCCCACACAAACACTGGACAGCGAGACCATTAAAGAACTCGATATCTTTGGTCTGCTAAATAAGCTTGACGTAGGCAAATCCACGGGGCCCGTGAACTGCATCCTAGGTTACTAAAGGAACTAGCTAACTTCGTTGCGAACCCTTTAAGTATATGCTCTAATCTATACGTAACCCTGGGTCGTTTACCAAAAGACTGGAAGAACGCCATGGTAAGTCCTGTCTTCGAAACAGGTACGAAACACAAACCAGAGAATTACCGACCCGTTAGCCTATCTAGTGTGGTTGTTAAGATCTTAGAAAATATTATTCTGAAGGAGCTATTGAAGTACCTCGATAAAAACCGGGTCCTTTCGGAGAAGCAGCATGGTTTTAGAATAGGTTATACCTGTCTCACCAAATTATTAGTGGCTCATGAAAGCTGGTGCGCTCTTAAGTACCAAGATTTACCTGTAGATGTAGCCTACATTGACTTCAGCAAAGCTTTTGACAAAGTTCCGCACAACCGGCTGTTATATAAGCTAAGAAACGTCGGGATTGGAGGCGATCTATTGATGTGGATTAATAACTTCCTAGTTGGACGCCAACAAAGAGTATGGGTTAACTCAAAGTTGTCTATCTGGGAAACTGTACTTAGTGGAGTGCCCTAGAGTACAGTTTTGGGGCCAGTGTTATGCCTATTGTGTGTAAATGACATTTGTCTACTATCATCATCGGTCTTGCTATATTCTGACGATGTCAAGATATGGACAGCGATACGGAGTAAGAGTGATAGCTTAGAACTCCAAAATGGCCTGAAGAAATTATCTGAATGGTCTCAAACCTGGCAGTTGCCGATTAATACTTCCAAGTATATTGTGATGCATATCGGCCATCAAGGTACAGATACATACACGATAAATAACACTGAGCTACCTAATATCCAGACACACAATGACTTAGGGGTCATCTTTAGCCAAGACTGGAGGACTACTGCACAATGCCGTGAAATAGCCGCCAAATGTTTTAGGACTTTATGGTAGATACGTAGGGCTTTTAGTCACGTCGACGCTACTACGTTTTTGACTTTGTGCAGTGTTTGTGCAACCTAAACTTGAGTACTGCATACAAGCGGTTAGCTCCTGCTTAAAAAAAGTAAGTCAGTTTTTTTTGAAAACGTTCAGAGAACAGCAACTAAGCTGATTCCTGGGATAGCGAAGCTCGCGTACATTCTTTAGACAAACCACTTAATATTAGAAACACTAGGAAATTAAAATCGAGCCAAAGAATACAAATTAACCCACCTTAGTAAGAAGCTCGTGTGGAGATTCCTCTTCACACCTGAAACAATGTTAAAAATTTCCCACTAGCATACCTGACTTCAACTGTGGCATCATGTGTTTTAACATGTTTTTACAATTCTCATTTTCCCAGCTTTAACTGAAAATTTCGTTATAAGTGATCAGATACATAAGCTTACCTGCTGGAGGGTGTGAAATATTCATCATGTCTGAAGTTTTATCCGTCATCGGTGGGACTTACTCACATAACCTTGAATTCTAAAATGGCGGCACTCCTCAGTCTTCAGTAATAAGGATAGTAGGTTGATGAACCTGTGTTAATCCTGACACATTGCTTTCCAGTGAAGGTCCAGCTTTTCCTTGAAAGTATTCACTGATGGGGCTGATACCACTTGTTCGGGTAAGGCGTTCCAATGATTGACTACTCGATGAGAAAAACGGGACCCCACTTTAAGTTTATTAGATCGTGGTTTATGAAGCTTCTTGCTATGACCTCGGAGATTATTAGTGCTGGAGGGAGCAAGAAGATAAGACATATTAACACCCAAATCATAATTAAAGATACGAAATGCCAGTATAAGGTCACCTCGTGTCCTACGATACGACAAGGGGAAAAGATTTAGGCGTTTTAAGCGCTCATCGTAAGGGAGACTAGAAAGACCCTTCACTAATTTCGTTCCCACACGCTGGACACGCTCAAGGGAGTTAGTATCCTTTACTAGACACGGGCTAGCTGCTTGTATACAGTACTCTATGGTTGTGGATGGAATAGAAGCTTCCGCTTAACAGGCTTCTGTGTCTAGTAGCAGGGGATCACCAAATCCTTCAGGCAGAATCCTAGGTATGTTAACAGTAAAAAAAAGAAAAGAAATCGGTGAATCATAGTGTGATGCTGTCCTTGGTCCTTAAGAATAGGTCAAGTTGCCTCTTGAAGGACTCCTGATAAGTCGCTTGGACTAGCTCGGCCGGCAGCGAGTTACAGCATTTGACAACTCTTAAGGAGTAGAAATTATGTCTACATTCCGTTTTGCTATATTGTGTCTCCAATTTCTGGGTGTTACCCCTGAGGTTAGTGTTGGAACTAAGCTTAAGTAGGTGTTTGAGAGGATGTCCAGAAGTGTTAACGATGCTGTAAGCCACTAAAAGGTCACCCCTAGGACGCATATACTCTAATGAGTAAGGGTTAAATGATTGGAGGCGCTCTTCATAAGGTTTAACTTTGAGTCCTCGAACTGATTAGGTGGCCCGCCGTTGGATACGCTCCGGAGTGTCCTTATCCTTTTGGAGTGAGGAAGGAAATACTATGTTTCCGTACTCTAAATGGGGACGGATGAAATCATTGAAGATTATATGGAAAGTTCTTCCGTCGAACTGTCCAAATATGCACTTCAACGTTACCAGTGCAAGGTTTGCTCGAACGGCATTTTTGTCACAGTTAGCATAAGACTTTAAATCGTAGGGCACTAGAACTCCTAAATCTTTTCCGACTTGGGATACTACTAGAGAGGAGTTTCCTAAGTTGTAACCGTAGTCTGCGACATGTCTCAGATGGACTTCTTTACACTTTGAAGTGTTAGCGGCAAGTCCGTTATCGTCTGCCCAAGTCTGACGTTACCTGTTGAGGAAGATCATTTATTTAGATCAAGAAGAGAAGAGGTCCTAGTACTGAGCCCTGGGGGACCCCACTAGGACATTCTATAGCCTGAGATAAAGTGAAATTAACCCTAACCTTAAAGTGTCGATTTTTCAGGTATGAAGTGAGCCAATCGATTAGAGGTGGTCTGATACCCAATCGTTTGAGCTTATTGATAAGGCATATATGGTTAACCTTATCAAAAGCTTTTGAGAAATCAAGGTAAATGATATCAACCTTCCTCTTGCGATCGAGGATGCTTGTCCATCTGTCCACCGCAGTCAGCAGGTTGGTAATACAAGAGTAACCCTTCCTGAAACCATGCTGTTGGGGTGAGAAGAAATTTAAGGACAGTAGATAGTCGTTTAAACCATCACATATCAGGGACTCCATGAGTTTTGAAGGTAATGACAGAAGAGTCACCGGCCGATAACTTGAAGGTTCATTGCGTCGACCTCCTTTGGAAATTGGTGTGATATGAGCCAGCTTCCAATTATGCGGTAGTTTGCCTCGGCTTAGCGAGTGTGAGAACATCACGCTAAGTGGCGTTGCCAGGATTGAGGCTTCTTCCCTCAGTATGGCAGAATGAACCATATCCGGGCCAAGAGAAGTATCTAGTCTTAAGTGCCGCAGTTTTCAGAACACCAAGTCAACGCTCAGGTTCACTTCGATAAGTTCTTTGGAGTTGCAAATGAAGCTTTCATCATTATAGTTTAAGTGGGTCGGTTGAAATGTCCGAGAGTATTGTTCAGCCAAAAGGTTAGAGGTGTCGCCGTTATTGTTGGTCGGGTCACCGGGGCCTAAAATTCGAGAAACTCCAGCTTTGACCTGTCGAAGAGAGGCTGCATAACTAAATAAGACTTTCGGATTGGAGACAAATTTATCAATGAGCTTTATCTGGTATTGAAGCCTGTCCTCTCTTATAGCCTTCGTGCATATGTTCCTTATATGTTTGTATTGCCTGTACGCTCCGTTGTTGTCAGTTCGTTTGTATTCTGCCCGACAGTGCCCTTTGCGGCTTAGCAGGCGAAGAGTGCTGTTCTTGATGATTGTGGGTTGCTGATAGCTATGGGAACTGTCTGAGGAACTGAATGATTTGTAGCACATATGAGCGTGTGCAGTAAGAAATCCAATGAGTATCCACATCGAGGTGAGTGTGAACATCCAATCCACCTGTTGTGGATAGTCCTGTAGAGCTGACGCATTCAACGGTTTGAAATTCCAGCGCCTGTTGTTGGTGGGGTATCTTAGCTCAGTTTTGCTGACGAAAGTGAAAGCTATAAAGGCGTGATCACTTTTCTCCAGGGGAGCCAGGATTGAGAGGTTGTCAACTAGAAATTCTTCGTTTGTAAATTCACAGTCTAAGCGCAATGGTGTTTGACTGTTTCTCCAACGAGTTGCCGAATTCACATTTTTCAGTAACCCCAGAACTTAAATAAAGTTAAAAAAAGTAAAGTTTTTACCTACAATCTACGTATGTTCCGCGAAATTGAAGTCCTCTAGAATCAGGAAATGAATGAACCAGTGACGAGTAAATCGGGATGATCCTCCCAGAATACGATTAACGTACTCGATGTCAGCGGTGGGCTTCCTGTAGATGACTAAAACGAGACACCTCAAAGTGGTAGACAATCTTAGTGAGCACCATACAGATTCACCAATATTAATAAACTCTTGGTTATGCATTTGATGTACCTCCAGGCAAAATCGTAAGTACAAAGCTGCTCCACCCCCATTCCTGTTTTCCTGTCACTGCTAAACAAAGACATCCCAGGTATTGCTAGCTCCTGGTTCGTAAACTGAGATATCCAAGTTTCAGATATTCCTATCAGATGAGTATTATTAACATCGCTGAGTTCATGTACTTCGTCGATTTCATTCGGTATACCCGGTAGTAAATCCACGTAAATTTGAGATCCCCTATAAACCGTGACTTTATATCCCTCTGGAACATCTGAGTCATTAATGATGGCCCAGGACGAAGTTTCCCGTTCGATATACGTTTTCTGTGGCATATATTGAGAGGACTGAAAAAGAGGGTAAGAAAAACAAAGAACGAGAAGGAAAGCAGACATGGTTCATGCATATTGAAACTGAGTCATTTGTGGTGGAGTAGTGAGGCTATGACTACTTGGCCTAATTTTCTAATATTAAGGTACTTTTTAAGCAAGAGCGTTCTAAGAGTTAAAGGAAACCGGCGTAAATATTATATGAATGGACAAATAACTGTATAAATGGAGGTGGTCCAAAAAGAAGCTGAAAGTATAAGATTATGTGAAGTTTTGAAATATAGTACTGAAAACAGTATTTTAATACACAAATGGCTATATCCCTTTTTTGTCGAAGGTATTTCTGCCCATTTTCTTTTTATCGATTTTATAGGGTCATGAGCAGACTTCGTTCCTAGTGAATTGTCTAGTTTTACTTGTACTAGGATCACACGTTAGGAAGTGAAACCAATTCAATGTCACAAAGATGATTTAAAGAGGTATTTTGTACAACCAATCACCACCAATACCATTGGTTCGTGACATCCTACATTACCATAGGACCGAAATGACTTCCATCGAACCACAGACCTATCAGCCTCAGCTTAAAAGAATTTTCAAATAGACCATAATGACATTCGTGGAAACCAACAACTTGTTAAACAGAGAACAACAATAATATTAATAATTTATTCTCAAATAACAGTTTGCTACATGAGACACGCCAGTTTACAGGCAAGATCAAACATGGTTCAAACATGGTTTTAGAAAGGGTTTATCCTGCACAACAACCCCCCTTATAGCAAGAGGGCAACAGATAAAGGCTATAGACAACGGAAAACCAGTGGGTGTCGTATACATGGAATTCAGCAAAGCATTTGAAAAAGTATCAACATATAGACTGCTCTTGAAGCTACAAAATCTTGATATTGCCGGACCTCCCTTAAAATGGCTTAAGATTTTTCTTTAGGACGTAGACGGAAAGTAAGAATAAATTCAATGTGTTCAATCTGGAGACCAGTACTTAGTGGAGTACCTCAAGGTTCTGTCCTAGGTCCATTACATTTTATACTGCATATAAATGATTTCCTGAGTATAGTTGAGTCTCCGATGTTAATATACGCTGATGATGTAAAAATCTGGCGAGTAATAACCGAAGGCTCAGATGTATACGCACTTCAAGCAGACTTAAATAATGTGATTAACTGGTCTAATGAGTGACTGACGCCTATCAACGCCGCAAACTGTGTCTGCATGGAGTTTGGGGATAAAAAGGTTAATAGGTACAGCATAGGGGAAATGCCTATACCTGCGCTCCGGTCTCACAAGGATCTTGGGGTGACAGTGAGTCATAATTTTTAGACGACGGCCCATTGCCGGAAAGTCACAGCTAAGGGGTTTAGAACCCCCCCGGGCTTTAAAACGGACATTCACTTAGATACTACTGTGATCACTACAGTATACACAGCCTTGGTGAGAACTAAGCTTGAGAACTGCGTTCGTGGTGCAAGCCCCTGTTTAAAAGATGACTCAGATATCCTGGAAAGAATACAGAGGGCGGCTGCCCGTGCAATTCCAGAACTCCGGAGTTTACTATACAAAGAGTG